GAACGAAACCGGTTGGATTTTTAAATCGACGACAGAGAAGAGAACGAAAAACAACAGGCACACACGCGCGAATCTGATCGAAACCGCGAAATATCTCGCTCGTGCGACTTTCCGAAAAGTAAACCACGCACCCTGCCTCCCACGAAGCACCGCGAAATCTCGTATCTTCGACCGCCGAAATCTTCGTTTCTCTCCCCTTGATGCAAATAGAATCGAGGAAAAGCGCGCGCATTAAGGGACTCTTGACTACAATGCTATCGATCGCGATGCTCCGCGGCAAGTCTTCTTCCCCTTGCATGCCGTCATACGCGTCTTCCGTTTCCCCTCCCCTTCTCTCTTTCTCCTTTCCCAATAATTAAAGTGGTGCTTCGAAGATTTAATCGACTGAACGAGTATCAAATGAGGGTACACAGTGACAGGTCAAGAATCGGATCCAAATTAAACCAGCCACGCCAAGTAGATTGAGTATAATTTCCATGCTCGAGAAAAAAGGTAGGAAAAAAACTCCACTTTCTGGTCGGTGTGTTTGAAATTGTAGTGTCAATGTCTGATCGATATTAAAACATGCATGTTAATATTTTTTTCTCTCTTTTTTTTGTTTCGCTTTTTCATCGTCCGTCACTATTTGGTTACCATCGGCAGTAAATTGTTCTTCCAAACAAACTCGTTTATTGTCACAAATATTACACACACTGCTCGAATAAAACACGATGTTCCAGTGAAATTTCAAACAATACATTCTGATGTGAATCACGCTTCCTAACTACGAGTTAGTAGTGATTAATTAAATCATATGAAATGCTCGACGAGACGGTCTACCAAGGAGTCAAAGCACCGCTTTAAAGCGTCATCGCTCGAAGAAAGGGAAGCGCTCGTCTTCCGTTGCGCGGAGATCGATGCGAAAGACCGCGTGTGTCGCGGCGTCGCGCTTCGCGAACGTGTTGCCGCGCGGAATATAAAGGAAAAAGGAAAACGCATGTACACATACGGATGTACACCTAACGCGAAACGTGAAAATGCAGGCGAAACAGAGTGTCAACGCGAATGTAAAACTTCCTCTCTCTATACAATTAAATAAAAAATAAATAATCGCCGGCGTGAACGGCCGGCCGAACAACGAGAATTACACTTAAGGAACTGTACAGAATATTACACAGGGGAAATTGGTACAAACGTTGGTCAAGTGCGGGACGAGACCGAAATACGCGGCTCCGCCGATATCGCGGGGAACGTTGGAAACATGATGCTCGTGAGCGTCGAGCGCGAATCGACCAACGTTTGCACAGTCTCCCATTAAAAAACGCATCTATTCGTATAAATCTAATAGTAACGGAATATACAGGTTCCGACGAGAAGCAAGCGATCTCCCCTCCGGTTAGATTGATCCCTGAAAAATCTGCAAATCTACCTTTCCAAATATTCTCTGATTTTGTCAAAATCTCTCGAACGCTTGGTTCGATTCGCTTGGTTCTCGGCCCGGTAAATAATAAACAGCCAACAATATAAATTCTTTCGAGTTCAGAAGCTAGAAAATAATCCCGCTCGATCGGCAGGATCTCGATTCCCTCGTGGATATCTTTCGTTAGTGATAGTTAGCCGCTCAAGAGAAGGGACCGACCTGTTGTGTCGCTCATACCTTGAGACGAGGCGAAATCCCGGATCGTTGCTCGTGTAAATGGACTAGAAAACTTGTATCATATCACGTTGTTACGTATTGTTGTTAATCGACCGGAGGAACGTTCGCGAGTCGAACAAGATCGAACGCGTATGTCAAGTCACATATATGTACGTACATATGTACGTACGATCGTTCGTATTAAGCATCACGTATCGTATATCACGCAATATAATATACATACGTCAGACGTGCACGAAGTAGGAGAAAGTAACGAAAAAGAGAAGAGCAACGGAGCGAGTGACTTTGTCGCCGGCGATTTCGATTCACGACTCGTATCGACGTTGTGTTCCTTTTATCTGATCGTGTCAAAGGGCGAGAGAGCCGTGCGTTTCGACGCAAGCGCAACCCGACGTTACGACGGAAACGCGATCCTTTGCAGGATTTCGAGTGAACTTCTTTGATCGTATCAACCTTTGCCCGCGTCCCGTGTTCACCTCCGAGCGAAATACTCCGCGACTAACCGAATGAAATCGAATTAAATTCTGAATAAAATCGATTACCCGCGAACGAACCTAAAAGCGTGCTTTTATCCCGGCGTCGATACGAATCGATGTTTCGCGAGGTACAGACAGACATTTGTACGTTTACCTTTACCACGCGTGCGCACGCGCGTGTGGCATCGTTCGCGCGTAACGTTTCGAGAGAGAGAGAGAGAGAGAGAGAGAGAGAGAGA